ACAATCCATGATCCATATCATAGGGGTACGATCGACTTAAGAGACAGATGCCATCTTGGAAAATGCCTGAAGTCCTCACTTCAATTTTACTCAAGAGGGATCTGGGTGAGAGTCACCATAAGTTCGCGATCTTCTATTATTTTCCGCCATCATTTTCCTGTGATCAGCCATCACGCAAGAATGAAGATTTCAACAAGACCAAAGTATTTGGACTCGAATAGCAGAGATGCAGAGTAGACTCACCGTTTATGTAATGCTTCGAGAATTGTCTCATAAAATTAAGCGTTTTGTACTGTACTAAACTGAACATGCTGCCAGTCAACTTGCCATGAACTGGCACTTCTATGAAGTCATTGCTTAAGTCACTGAATTATTAAAATTGTTCTGGAGTGGTATTTGGACTTCCATGTTAACTATATAAACAAAGAAAACAAATATCGACAACGGAGTGTTATTCTTTTTTATTTCATTTAATATACCGTCACTTGCATCTAAGCATGAACATGTGATGCTGAAACATGCTTTAATTGGGTATCAAATGTGGCATGATTGGTCATCAAACATTTGAAGTTTATCAGACCGTAATGCGAAAATGTTAACTCAAAACTTTTCACTTTCAAAACTCAAAATGTTCACCATCAACAAATACTACTATACTAGAAGTAAAATCACCTTCGCGAAAGGCATATGCATATTGACACAGGTTAGGGTCAATTTCTCTGAAGAAGTCTTCTAGGTCCAATCTTTCTGCCATTTCGTGCGCTGAACTTTTAACATGAAAAAGTTCGCGTTACGGTCTGCTAAACTTGAAATGTTTGATGACCAATCATGCCACATTTGACACCCAATTAGAACATGTTTTGGTGTCATGTGTTCACGCTTAGATGCAAGCAACCGAATGTTAGTCTTTACAAGTGTCACTGGAGAAATAAAAGGGCTAGGTGTCAGGGGAGGTCAGGGGGAGTACCCCAGAAAGACAGGAATGCTTCCTAATTCTCTAAGCGTATGTTTTTTTTCCTGGCCTTGTTTTGGACCAGTGGCTTGTCCTTGTGGGCTAGTGATTTGCTTTGCTTACTAGCCCACTGTCTAGTAACCGAAAGTGTTAGTGTCGAGCACTGCATCTATCAACATCTACAAAAGGTGTGTTTCCAGAATATTTCCATATCCAATCCCAGAAAGTATGATTACCAAAACTGGAATTTCCAGAGAGATGGGAGGGGTGGGGGGGTGTTCAAACCCAAAAACACTCCATCAGGGAGGGGTACAGATATTTTCTGGAACCACACAAGCCAGTAAAGTTTTCCATCTTCGTGATGAAGGAAGGGGTATGGTCTTAGGCTGACCAGTTCAAATGCTAAAGGAAGCCATTTAAGATTAATGAAAGGTAACTGGTTAATACTAACATGGACCAAAATTACAAGTGGGGGTTCTCTTATTTCAGTTAAAATTTAACAAGCTCGTTAGAGTCTTGAAAACGAAATTACCGGCACAGGACGCTAAATGGTTAGGAAGTGAATCACCGTTCTATTATTAAGCTATTAAAGTTTAAACTAACTCCGTCTAATTAAGCTAATTTAAACTTACCTTTCCCATTCAGATGAAGTTGTAAAATCTGTTATTTCAAATACTTCATCCTCCTAAATTTGACAGGGAAAAATAAAGCAAGCGTGCATTAATACCTTCCTTGTAAGATTCATTAAAAACACTTAAAATGATTATATTCTGGAAGCCTACTTCCTCCGCTCTGTCCGCCATCTTTGTTTTACGTTCTGAGCATGCGCTGTCCCGACGAATGGATGCCAGCAATTCAAGAACATTTTTGTCTTCTTTCCATTTTCTCCTAATTGTATTAATAGATTGCCAGATTTTCCACATCAAAGAATCATATTTTTCCATTTAAAAAGAAGATGAAAGGAAAAAATAAATATAAACTTATGATTTTCATTATGACGTCATTAATATTGTACCCAGTCCTCTAAGGGCCACTCGTACAGCGTCCTCTGTCGATATGTCCAGCTGGTCCGGAGGGAAGATTTTAAAGTTTTTTGCGACGCACTTATAACAAGACAAAAGATATTAATGCCTGTTCTTCCTGAGAAATGGGTTATAGGTTTCCACGAAAGGCATGGACGTAACATAACACTCACCAATGGCAATCAGAGAGCTGTAAGAGAAGGTGATACCTACGACCATGGAATGGTTTTTAGCGACAGGCCATTGCACATTGGGGAGGTTTTTCAGCTTAAAATTGAAGAATTGGAATCAAAGTGGGCAGGATCTTTGGTATGTAAAGGTTACATGAAATGCTAAGGGAGCTGTTCTCCTTTAGTACAATTTTTTGTCGCCATTAGTTGAGTTCTCTTTATTACAAACTAACTGAACAATTGAAGTTCCCAATTCCCAATTCCTATGCATTTGCAAATTTGCCCCATGTATGGATCACTATCCGAAATATTTTTAGGTTCGTTGATGATCATGTTACTGTGATTTAGACTAAATGAAATTCTGAGGTGTGTTTTCCCATGTTATTTTATAATTAAATTTATAAAACTCACTGGGGGGGTGGGGGTGCAAAACAAGGCCCCATTTGTGTGGTTTCAGGTACCCGAGATTACCCCCCCCCCCTGCTTCCCCCTCCCGAGTTACCCTGAGTGAGTTAACTTCCTCTCTTTCATTTGAAAAAGTCAAACACCAATTTACATGATTTTCCCTGATGGGAAAGGTGTTGGGGGGGGGGGNATCATTAGGATTCAGGTTTGAGCAACCATTAGCATGGGAGATAAAGATATGTTGCATGACAACCAAATAGGGTGACTGCAAAGGCAACTAGAGAAAAGGGGTACTGAGATGCCAACCTGAAAAATGTGAATTCCAGGAGATTGTCATCGATTTTTCCCCTTCTCAACCCTAAAAAACATAGTACATATTGAGTTTTGCCAAATCAGTCATGGAAATGTGTCAAATATCCCACAAAATGTCCCAAAATTAGTCAAGGATTCACAGTTTGAGAGTCCTTGATATAATTGAATGGTTTGTAATTTAATAGAAAAACATTGGCCTGTATTTTTTTTTTTTTTTTTGCTGGTTTGCTCTTTGTTTTCATGAAATAATGTCTGCAAAATACTCAGTTTTCATAGTGGCGTCTTTCAGAGATCTTTTGTTGTACAAGGAACAAAAGAAAGCTTTTGTTTCACTAAACAATGACATTTGGTTTCTCTTTTAATTTTTAACTTTTTAGCCTTGCAAGTAGCATCTTGATTTGGTTTTTATTAATTAATTAGTAATTTCATTTCTAATTTGTCAGCGATTTGGCATCACTACAAACAACCCCAACTGCCATCTGACAAGAGTAGTTAGAGCCGCAACAGATTTGTTCACACCAGAAGGTCAGGAATACTGGATGCTGTCTGGCACTCGCATACACAATGGAGAAATAGAAAAAGAATATTCTTTTAGCATTCACTCACTTAAAGTTAATGATGTTCTTGGAGTTCAAGTGTTGAGTACTGGTGATTTAATTTATTATGTTAATGGTGTACCCCAAGGCATTGCAATCTCTGGTATACCTGTAAGAAAAGACATATTTGCTGTATTTGATGTTTACGGAAGGACAAAGCAAGTTTCATTGAAATATTTTGGAGGTGAGTATTCACAAACGCTTATATTTTTAACTTTGCTCTCGTTCAATCCTTATTAAGACTAGCAAGAACAAGAACTTCCTTACCAGTTACTTAAAAAGAAGTTCTATTCCGTGGCTTAGAATAATTATTATTATATGTTATATATGTTTGTAACCAATATAACATATGCTCTGATTGGCTAATGATGGGCCATTATTCTCTGTAATGCCTTCAGGCTGATAATGGGTCTGCAAAGACAAAGCAAAATAATAAACAACTTATCAACTTTGAATGTTTGGTCTTTACGGGAAAATCTCAAACCTTGGCCTTGCTGTATTGGCCTCGCTATCACTCCATCAATACAGCAAGGTCTTGGTTTGAGATTTTCCTTTAAAGAACTCACTCTCGATTAATAGGCAGTTTACTAAATAAATACACTTAAATGTTGTGGCATTGTCCCCATGTTTGTGTCTCCAGACAATAAAGTTCTCCCCTTTGGTTAAACTCATCAACAAACGATGAGCTTGGGGAATGGTGCCTGAAAGGATGGTGGAGCCCAAAAGCAAACTAAACTGAGCACATCGGGTATCCATGACAACCCTGTGAGCGACGACCACCAGGCACCATGACACTGCAAAAACAGTGGAAACACGGGATACTTACCACATACTTACCCTCAAGCCAAAGGGAGATGGGTGGGCTGGGAGAAAAGCTTAACAAGCACTGCCCAGCAGCAAAAAACACGCTGAATGATTTGACATCCAAAGCCGAGCTGTTAAATCCTGGTGCCCCTACACAAATCTCCCGGCCACCCTGAACTCACTCTGAGGGAGACTGCTGGCCAGCAATCTTGTTTCACATTTAACTTAGCCTAAAGTACATTTAGCTACATGAAATTATTTCTGAAATTCTTACACAAAAATTGTGTATTGTTTAGGGACACCAGTATGACTGCTATTGAACATGTTCTATGGACAGATTATTCAATTTCTATTAAAACATAGCTGCTGTGTGCCCACTATTGAAGCCGAGCAATGCAAAGCTGGAATTATAGAGCACATATGTCCTGGATGATGTATTGCCTGTGCAATCACCGCCCTTTCTCAGATGAAAATATTTTTTCTTTATCATGCTATAGACCCTTTTCATAAATGGCTGCCAACTTAAAATTCTTTTGTATGCATATTAAGTAGCCTTACTAACTTCGTTTCAGAGTAAAATTCTTTTGAATTACCAACTTCAAAATGAGGTTAGTAAGGCTAATTTTAATAGTTGCAAAATAATTCATAATTATTGGCCGCCATTTATGAAAGTGGTCTATATTCAAAACCAAATGGAAGATGATGTTCCTATGTTTCCTAAGAAAATAATGCACTTTTGAGGTCTAGAAAAACTGCTGAATGCACTTGCGATCCGCTGATACATACACTGGCAGTTTTGTAGACCAACAGAATACAATATTTTCTGACAGGATATCGTACACCTTCTATTTGGTAGAATAGAAGAGATGTTGTAAAACGCAGAAGTAAGAGTAAGTACATGGACAACACCCCCCCCCCCCCTTTGCTGCCCCTGTGAATACTGATTATGGTATTTCTCCACAATATACATGTGTACAAAATATTACTGTTTGGATTTTACTTGACAGTGGGGACTTTGGAGGAGATCTGCAGGACTGAAATACTCAAATGGGTGAAGGATAAAGACAAATTAGACGAATTACCTATACCAAAGATTCTTAAAGACTTTTTAAAAGAGTGACATAATAGGTACATAGATGGATAATAATTTATATGAATAAAGCAGAGTTTAGACAATATAATGTCAATCCATATGCTTTTATTAAGTAAGGTCACTGAGATGGAGAAAGTATTTTTTCTTAGTTTTCCAAGGAGAAAGCACTTCAGCACTGATGTAACCAAATATTTGCCTCCAACACTCACATCAAAATGTTATTGTTGTTTTGTTCTACATCATGCAATAAGCTAAATACATTACATAAGTTTTTTTGTGGCACAGTATAAACATCGTCAAGTTGAGATTCTGTAATAATAGACTTTTGTCCTCTGTTTCTGGAGACGGTGACCAATGCAGTGGCCAATTTTCTTTCTTCCCTCTCTCTCTCTCTCTCTCTCTCTCTCTCTCTCTGTAAATACTTTGTAAAATAGCTGCAATAAAAAATCAAACTTTTACTATTTGTTTCAAGATATCTTGTGTTTAATACATGGATGTTAGAAAAGCTTGGTTGATCTTGCTTTGCTACATGAAAAGAACGTATTAAACTTTATGAAATATTTACTTGAGTAAGCTCAGTAAATTTTAACAAATAGAAAAACGCTTTAAAGTACTGTTTTACAAGATTGCTGTGTGGGACTCCACGATATGTCATTGATGTGGTTCATCTTTTGCATGCGTCCATTTGAGCCAGCATTTCTCAATTCTAGGGGAAGACAGGGCCCTTAAATGAGTGAAATTTCAGTTTAATTTGTTTGTGTGTAGCATAGGCTACCTAAATTTTCCTCCTGCATTTCTCAGATTTCCCAACTTCTATTTTTACTGTCTTGTAGTATAGGACCTGATTTGCATATGCCGAACCCAATCCCATTTGAGTGAACTCAATTATTAACTTCAACAGTTGATTCAAATGTGGTTATAAGACCATGCATGGGCTGGGATATTAGTTAAGAACCTTTTTTGCGTTTTTTTTTTTTTTTTTTGCATAACGTCAAGCAGTGGTGAACCAAGCCTGGGGCCAGGACGAAGGGGTGGGACTCCCACAGAAAAAGGATTGGGGTGCTCATTATACTCTTTTAGGGGTTTAAAAAGTGGTTTTGTTGCCTCTTGCATGTAAGGCGTTTAGCCTCAAAAGGTCCACAGCAGAAGCTTTTTCAGTGTACCTTATCGGATATTGAGTCAACAAAATATGAGAGGGGATGATGTGTTGTTTTAGAATTGGTACCTCTTAGGGGTTAAAAAAATTTCAATCATGCCCACAAAATAGGATCTTGGTACCTCCTGGAGGCTCTTTTCGAAATTTCTGATGAAGACCCCAGTCTTTTTTATATGGGAGGCCCAACTCCCCCCGGGGGACAGACTACCCTTTTGTTTCTGATAGGTACATTCTTCTGGCAATCATTTCCTTGTGGTTTTAACCGGTGTAATTTCTAGATCATGTTTATCCAATGAGCAAACAATCTTTTCCCCTGGACCTGTCCTTTTCAATTTTTCTCAAGGAATGACATTCTTGTTCCACAGCCAACTGTTCCTCTTAGCTGGTGGGCGTGGGCCTCGGCACGAGAAATAAGGTGGCTTTGGAGAGTGCCTGATTCGACTGACTAGATTCTTGGACTAAGATTTTCACTAAATCAATGTTGTTCCCTTCCCCCCATCAGGGGGAGAGGGGTTCTTGCCAAGGCCCTGCTGCCTTTTTCTCGTTCCAAAGTCCTACTGATAGGGGGAGGGACCCTCTGGAGACAAAACTGATATGCATGTAAAGAGAATCATTAACTGTAATCTGAAACACACTGAAATGCAGCTCAAGCTGAGAAAAAGTCTAAAAACGACAGAAACATGATTTGAAGCAGCAGGTCATGTGAAGATAAAGTGACTATGATGGGTTTACAAAACCAGTATTTTTTAATAAATTAGTTTCTGTCACATAATTGAGTGGTTGGTTTTCAAACTAACGGCCCTGCTGTGTTGTGATATTAAATAAAGAAGAACATTTTGAATGATCAATGGTATCATTCAATGAATTAAGTACTCACCTCGTTTGTGATCGAATCAGTAGAATTGAAAACATCAACAAAAAGCTAAGTGAATGAAGTAACGTTTTATGCTTGTCGTCAGCTTCTGAAGCCGTGTGAAACTAAAACTGCCACGATTGAAAAAGGTCATTAAAATATTCATCAGTGTGTAGAGATTTGTCAAAAAGTACCGGATAGCAACCAGAAATTTGTTGAAACAGCCATTAAACAAACGTTATATAAATAGATTGATCAGGCTTCTGCCAGCGCTGAAACAGGAAGCCGAATTACTCCTTCGTTACAAAAACCACGTCACTGAGAATTGATTTTAAAGTAGAAGCTTTTGAAGGATTAGAGAAAAAAGAAACTGTTTTTCTGTTCATCCCTTGTTCACTGACTGCTTCCCAGTCAACTGACGACTGTTTTGAAACGTACCTTTCCAACTGGAAAGGCCACCGGATGTTTTGTGGTCACGCGACACATATTATTGTATAATTTACACGTAAATACTAGAACGAGTAATCGAGATAAATCTTTTCGGACAGTGATTTTGATTCTGTAAAGAATAACCTGGTGGAAATGAGTATCCGTGCAAGTCAACATGTGCGTAGAAGGATGACTGTAGCGTGAATGGAGATGTTAGTGGTACAACTTTAGACAAAAGGGTCATTGATGTGAATAATTCATAAATCCTCCTTACATATTTTGATCTTGATACGGAATTGTTTGTTTTCGTTAAGGTATGGTGCTTGTTTGTAAGGCGATCCCTGTATAAAGAATGTCTTGATTGGAACAATATACAATAAACGCATTGGTATTGGTAACGTAAATATCATCACAACGAGGCTGGTAATAAGAATTGAGAGGGCGAATAATATGTATTCAACTACTTTTTCCCGTAAATGTCATCATGTAGCAAATAAAAATTAAAATTCTTTTCAACGTCTTGTCGGTTGTACGACGTACAGGTCTCAGAAAGAAGAACAGGATGCTAACTCCTTTAAATTTCAAGTTGTTTCTTCAAACGGTGTGATCGAAATCCATATTCTTGCCACCTACCAGCAAGGAGAATTCCTCTGTCAATCACAGTGGGAAGTTTCAATCGGCGCTGTAGTTAGCGGGTTTTACTCAGCCCGGCACAGATATCTCCGCCGGTCAAAATGGCGAAAAAAACCTCTGCGAAACAAGGTTCGTAAACTATCTCTTTACTGGGAAAGCGGTTGCATTTCCTAGAAAACTTGGATGCGAAATATGACAATATTTCATGGTTCTGTCTTCTAGGAAAAGATTTCTTTGACACCCGAAACGGCCAAGTTCTTGCAGACTTGAATTTCGCTCAGCGAACTAGTTCTTCAAATCCGAAGACAGAAGTAAGTTTACTTGGTCGTTAATCACTACAGATGGTAAATCTGTGAATTAATCTGGTTGTATTCAATGCTGACAAGTTTAATTCTTCTTTCTTCTTTACTATTCAAAGATTGGATTCATTCGAGAAGCCTTCCCGCTTCGAAGTAAAGATGACATAACCTTAGTCTTGCAATCGTGCGATTACAATGTGGAAGCAGCTATTGCTTGCTTCACCAATGGTAAGGTTTTTATTTATTTCGTCAACAACTAGTTTAAAGTAAGAAATACTCGATTTTTTTATCGGATACAAGCGGATTTTAGATTAAACGGGAGGTACAATTTTTGAGAAGTGAAAGTAAAACTTTAGTCTCTGTGGACACAAGTCTATCCCGTTTCTACGCAGTGAAGAATGTCATATTCCAACAATTTTCCAAACGACGAAAACTTATTTTCCCGTATTTTTTTCGTTTGTTTCTAGGAGAGGCAGATAATATCTTGAAAGAGTGGAATATCCAGGGAGGAAAGTCAAAGGTTCGGAGAGTAATAACTTTTTGGCACTTTATTAGTATTTTCGGGTCTTTGAATTATTTGTCACGTCACTGCGACGTTGAGGTTGTATTAAATATTTAAATAGGGTCACTGTATATCTAAACGTATTTCAAGGTGAGAAACGACCACTGTATTAACAGCCGGCGGCTGAAGTTCATTTAAGCTTATACCTTGAAACTTTCTTCCGTTGTAATAAATCTTTAGTTTTGTTTGAAGAAGATTTAAAAGTGAGTGATTTGCAGTGAGATAAAAAACCCGGAAAATTCAGTCGTGTAGTCCTTCACATTACTTAGGACGTCTTGTAAGGTAAGATACTCCACTAAAAAAAATCGATATCGTTTTGTAGCTGCGATGTTTTTGGTGATTTCCGACCAAATAAATTCCTACGTACGAGTTCGCCTGTTGAAAAAAGCCACACACTTTTTAACTTCCGGTAGTCTACACGGTTAAGCGGAAAAATGTCGTTTTTAGTTAGTCGAGATTGAAACCTTGAGCCTGTGAGAAAGAGCTTTTCAATGCTCCACTTTACAGTCCACTAACGGTTACTTCTAGCTCTTCAAAGGCCAAGATTTTTTTTTTGTCCTGCATCAATATGTCCATATGTTTCAGTCTTGCTGAGGTCTCTCAACAGTGGTCGATTCATTATGCCTCGGGGAGGCCACTGGATACTGTATCGGTAACCGGAGAAAGGAGGTTAAGGTGATCTCTCAGAAATAAAAGTTGTGGAACGATTTTTTTTTAAACTTTCCCTGAACGTTCCTTACCAAACACTGTTTCGAAAAAAAAATAATTTAAAAAGATAGCTTACCATGCTCGCAGAAGAGATATGATAGCTAATATTACCCCATAATTTATGCCTTAACATGCGCATCATTTAATTTTGTGGTAGGTGAAAGACAGGTTTTTTAAGAAATACTTGAAAAAATACACGATAAAATACTTGATAGGTTGAAAGTCTCAAGCATTTGCAACAATTATATATAAATTATGGAAAATTGCATAATTTTAAATAGCATGGACTCCTTGATTCATTCTCCTGATTTACACCCTTTCTTTGTTGGTCTCTTCATGGGAATGATTAACTGAAGACATTGCAGATGTCTGCAAATATGACTGAAACCTTGAAAGTTCACAGGCTTTAAAACAAGGGTCTCTTTAAAGTGTGTATAGCCCTAAAAATTTTTATAGCTGTATTAAGTGTTTGTATTATAGGGAGCAAAATGCTACAAGAAGTTTTAATCACTCAACTAAGGGGAACTGAGAGTGGGGCTAATGACATCAAAGAAGAATACGATAGTGCAAAAAATTTCAGGCAATTTTAATTTTGGACCAAAACAGGGTGTGAAGATAAATCCATCTGAAATTTTTAAGCACCCAGAATTTTAAGCATCTGAAACATTATTTTCCGGTGTAGAATAACACTTTGAAAGTAGCTCCAAAGCTCTTAGTGTCCATTTATGGAGCAAACTCTAGTTGAGACACTGCCTGACATGCGTAACAGCTTGATAGAATTTGTGTTTTTTCTCATCGGTGTATTCCGAAACCTTCAGGGTGCAGTAAAACTATCATCTTCGCAGATGTTGTTTCAGTCTAATTGGTGTTTGTAGGCAGAAAAGACAAGACACATGGTTTGCCTGTTCTTCGCAGCTCTTCTTTGCAATATCGTCTCAAAGATGTCTTCCAGAAAAACTGATTTAGATCTAGAGCCGGCACCATCGTCAAGATTAGGTCACCTGTCAGTTGTATGAAATTAATGATGTATCGTATCGTGTACACTGTATCGTGTCATGGCACTTTTATCGAGATATGTGTCATATCATGAGAAATTGTATTGTTGCAGCTCTAAATTGGGTAAGGTAATGGTTGAAATTATGGTTAAGGGTATGGGTGCGATCTCCTTATTGATAAATGACATCACAAAATGTGCTAGACCCATATCCTTTTAAGTTTTGACTGGTTCTTCGACTTGGTCATGGTTTTCATCATAGTGATCAAGAATGTGTCAATACTTTTTGAACTTAAAAAAATGATAGTGCTTATACTAATAGGCACCTTAAGCAGTTCAAATCAAAAAGGTTTGCTTGCTTGTGAGAACCAATTGCCTTCTTGCTGAAAATGTTAATGAAACCGCCTGGCCCGGGTTGTGCAAAAGGTGGATAACATTATGCACCAGATAAATCACTATCCAGTGGATAGCGTGGTTTATTTTGTTAACACTTATCCTCTGGATTACAATTTTAAACCCATTGGATAGCATTATCCAGCCTTTGAGCTTATATTGCATAGCATAGTGGAGATCCAAACCTGCATGTACCTTTTATAATTTTTCTTTCCAGAATGCAAAAAAGAAGAGAAACAAGAAGAAGCAGGCAAAACATGATGAACCAGAGACGGTAGAAGTTGCTGCGATACCACAGAAAGATGATGGCGTTTCACAACTAGATCCATACAACATTAAAGGTGTTGTAGTTAACATTGTATTCTTTTGACTTGTTTTACTATGGTGATTCTAAAAAAATTGCCAAATATCCTGTGATTTGTTTCAACGTGTCAAATCATAGACTGTATATAGGTGTAGCCATTTTGAAATTTTAGTTCAAACCAGTTGCACAGTATTCATAACAAAGTAAAGAAATAATAATTTTTATTAACTAAAATTGGCAATTTGATTTCTTCTATTATTTCCATTCCCAAGGAATGGCCAACTTTTCCACACTCAATTCCATTCAAAACATTGTTTTGCTGTTTGAGCTTGTCTGGTTTCATACATGTATGACAAGCACACAAGAATTCAATCTGATTTTGTTTCCAAACATCAACTGTCACACATCACACATTTTACAAATTTTACCTTATTTTGCACTTCACCATGGATTTTGCCAAACACTGAATCCAAACAATGGTTGAGTTTGAATCCGGTTGTATTTTGAATATCAAACTTTTCCTGGATTCTCCCAAAATCCTGTAAGAAGTGGAAAGAGAATATTGGCAGAAGTGGGTATTTTCAAAACAGACTGAAAAAAAAGTGCATGAACAACTTGGCTTGCACTCTTAGTGACAGTAGAAATAACATCCTAACTTGTGTAAAACTGAAGTGGAACTACGGGCGACGGGCAAGTGGTTTCATCCCAAATTGAGATATTAATAATCACATTGCAAGTTAAAGTACTGTTAAGTAATAACTAAGGGCTAAGATATGGTAAAGCACTAAGATATTCAAAAGTAAGACTTAAAGCCTGGAATTATTATAACAATTCTACACAAGTAATGATACTAGCATCTGACAGCTAGGTAACAAATCGTTTTCCAGATGTAACAGTCACAACTGAAGATGACCCAGAAAAGCCACTATCAGCAGTGACCACAAGTCTGGAATGCATCTCCCCATCTCCTACTCTGCAGCTGCCTCATCCACCATCACCATCAAGCTCAGAAGTCTCCCTTCCTTCTTCAAACTCTGACCAGCCGTCTGATGCCACTCAAGACCCTGAACTTCCATCCAAGCATTCACAAGGTAGTCCCAGTCATAACAGCCATTCTCCTGCAAAACTTGAAAGGATGACCTCAACTGGTCCCGATGCTCTTAAAAAGACAGTAAAAGATCTGCAGCGCTCCAGTGTTTCACTTCCAAGGTTTCAGCTTCTCTTGGAAGAGGTAAATAATTGCTTCCATACTTTTATTAGCTGTAACTTTAAGCCTGTGATTCAACTTTATTTCCATGGGAATTCCTTAGAATTGTATTGCATACATGTATCCCTAGTGCACCTGATTTTTGCATCTTTAGCATGCGCTCAAAACAACTGATTTTCATGTCATTAGCAGTCGCTCAGGACCCTGTGCACATAAACAACATCAAGAGATTTCCTTCTTTTTCTTTTCCTCCTTCCAGTACTTGATAGGGAACATTCAGAGAAAGTTTTTAACAAAATCGTTTGACAACTTTTATTTCTGAGGAATCATCTTTAGGTATATCAGTGTTGTAGAAAGTGTGAACGTGGTCAGAATCTTGTGTTGTTTACTGCATGCTTGGTTTGTGTTGACTGTTTTTTATAAAGTAATAATCATTTGCCTTCTTTCTACAGGAATGTGACAAGTCATTCAAATCAATTGCTGAGACATTTCAAGAATTAAGACAATGGTGCGTCAGAAATTTCAAGCTGTTCCGTGTGAATAGAAGTCATTCCCAAACCCATCAGACACACAGTAGAGATATAATAAATATCTTACTAACCTTGCCTTCTTGGTCCGTACTGTAAGTTATTGATCCTCTTATTTTGCCTTCAATTTATGGCCCACACGCTTCACACTTGTGCCATGAATTGATGGGGAAAAAACTTGGTCTGTAACTTACAGTATGTACCTCGAACTCGGTTAGTAAGAGGTATAAAGGACTTGCTGTAGTAAAGTTTTGCTGTGTTGTCATATGATCTTGTTTATGCCCCCAAAAATGTTCAAGCTCATTATTCATTTCTCTTTTTTGCATTCAGTTTAAATGACAGGGAAGCTCATCTTCATGCTCAAATGGAAGAGTTTAAGAGGCAGGCAGGTTAGTAACTGAGTTATTTTAAATTTATAGTGTTGTGTAAACTTTTTAAACTCTCTTGACGGAGGGGGCGAATAGGGGTATGCAAATCTGCCGATCCATGCTTTTTTTTTTTCACCAAATCCATAGATCTGCCAATCTTTTAGTTCAAACTGACACCTCAACCACATCCAGAAACAGAAGGGTGAAAGTTCAAAGGCAAACTGGTAAATGTGAATGCCATTGTTAATTTCACACAAATAGTGAAGAAGGCAACATGCTTGATGACTATAACACAGTACAATTCCAATAACAGTCTTATACCTGAGTTTAAATAAGCTTTGTGCAAAAAAAAGAAATAATTTGGATGAACTCATTAACATAACGACCAAGGCTGAAGAAAGATCCATGACCCAAATTTGGTTTAGGACCCAAGACTTGAACATCAAGACAGGCACAATCCAGAATCTGGGCCAAAATTCACAGCTGATCCACGATCCACTGTGTTTTCAAAATCTGCGAATCCGCTCGATTTACCACAAAAATCCACAATCTGTGCGCTTTTTAAGGCCAAATCCATCGATCCAAAAACCTATTCACCCCCTCCTTGACAAAAGTACCTGTGATAGGGAAGTGCAAACTAAGGACATGTTATGGGTACATAGAACAGCACTGGAACAAAATTGGCAAATAGTTACAAAAACTGTAATTTCTGTGTAGGGTTTGGTGGTTGGAAAGATGTTAAATTTTACCATCACAGTAACTTTTGGGAGGGAACCAGGCAAGTATTTTAACGTGTTTGTTAAGATTGAACAGATATTTGCAATTTCTACATGCACAGTCTGTGCACATGTGGCTTCAACATTACACCTCTTGGACTATCCCCATAGTTTATCCACACTGGGTTATAACCTGCTTACATGCGATTACTGTGAAAGCAAGTCTGTCCAAAGCAAAATCATTAATCTTACTGGTCTTGTTGATTTGTTTAAACCCTGGGACTGAGAATGAAGATCTACATTGCTACATGACTTAGATGTCAGTGGTTTCCTTTATTCTCAATGTGAAACAAGCCAGAAGTTGATCAATTTAATGCCAAAACATTTTTGATGATATGCAGTTGAATTGTTGGAACAAAGGCAAGAAAATGCAGCAGCATTGAAGCTGAAATCAGACAGAGTTGGTGGAATGCAGGAGGCTGAAGTGACGCAGCTAAGGAGTGAAATAAAGGTGTGGCATACTGTACTGTTCTATTTATTTTGCCTGTGTTTGAATAACACTTTACTGTTAAAAAATAAATATTAAATATAATAAATGAATCAATTTATGCAGATGAAGCATACTAAATTTACTACCAAATAGACAGATTCAGCTAATGCATTTACATGCTTGTTGCCACCAAATTCAGACCAGGTGATGATTCGTTGGGGAGGTTGTTGATGTGCAATTTGTCACAGGTAATTGATTGCAAGGGGGTATGTACAAATGGGTTTGTCACGTCCCAAGTAAATTATCACATGGCCCAGTTGGGTGGCAACAGGGATGCAAACACATTGGCCAAATCCATGTATGGTTACTCGCACTGGATTCCAGGTCAAACAGTCAAGTCTCAAGTGTGCAGTGATTGACCAAGAGTGGTGAAGAATATTTGGGTGTTTTCATTATGCTGTTATCAATATGCATGTAATATACTAAACACAGTGGACAGTGTTTCCAAATTTCCTGATTGACTTTGTTTAACCATGATGAATTATGAATGTTAATGAGTTTGAGAAGTTAATTGAAATCTGCAAATAAGTGAGAAATAATCATTTAAATAGAACAATAGTATTACTAAATTTGTACCAAGCTGTTAAATTATCTTCCTGTTTAAAATAATTATTTCTAATTCCGATGTTAACTTTGAAGATCCTCAATTAGTATTTAACATGTAATCGCTGCCTTAGGCAGCACTAATTTTACCAACAATATCATCTATTTTACCAGAATTTTGTTACTGAGCGGAAAATTGACGAGGAGCTGGCCAGAACGACCCGTTTTGTTGGAGATAGGGATAAGCTGAAGTCAGTGATTGCAAATTTTGGAGAAGGTAAAAATTATTCAAAAATTTAAATCACATCAACTGTTTCTACTGTGTGTTTCTACTCTCACGCTTTACCATAAATTGTTCCTCTTTGCCCGAAAATTGGTTGGTTATGACAAACCTTCAGGTTAGATTAGAGGCCTGTTTACTTTCAGAGATCTCATTCTCCTTCAAGTACTGGAAGACAGAAAAAAATAATAGCAGATGTCTGCATGTACAGTGTATATGACAGGAACTAGTAAGCTCTTGGTCAAAGAACTTCATGCAAAGTTTCTACTCGCAATTGATTTTGGGTTTACTCCTGACTGGAAGAAAAAGTGGCGAAATTGGTTTGCATAGCAATGCAGAACCAAAGCAAATAATGCATCTTTTGATTAAGAGAAACCACTCAAGACCAGCTTAAGTACTCATTTAGAAGCCTGCATGCAAATGAACTTAACTCAAAGGTAATAAGGCAGAATTCTTTGTGCAGGCTAGTCCAAGTTTTTGAAAGAGTCTAATTCGTGTTTGTTTATTTTACAGTTGTGCCTATCAAGAGCTGCTATAGTCCAGTCACGTTAAACCCCCCTCCACTGCCTACCAAGAAGTCAGAAGGAAGCAATGCTGATAAGAAAGTGACAGAAACTGTCCCATCAGGCAAATCAGACTCATTGTCAGTTCCTGCTAACATTACTGTTCCTGTTATCACTGTAGCTAATGATGAGAATTCCGTATCTAACCACAAGGCCCTTCAAGAGGTGGCAGAACTCCATGCAAAGCTTCAAGCAGCTCTTCAGCTACAAGTATGTTGATCAGGGTTTTAACGACTGACTTTCAGGGTGCTTTCCATCATGCCAAAAATTTGGAAAATTTCGTTCGGAAGTCAAATGGAATGGTCCATTTTGGTTCGGTCCAACCGGAATGTTCAGGACCACTTTTTGAGGTGGTCCACTTTGATCAGTCAGATTGGTCAGACCGAAATTTGCCATTTCATTTTGACAAACAAGTTCATTGCCCTACTTCTCTTGAGTGGATTTCACTTAAGTGATGGATTCGGGAAAGGAATAAAAAATGGTAAGAGCCATTCCTCTCAGTTGGCCTGGTGTGATCAGAAAATGTTGTTCCTGTCTTGCTTGGTTAATCCCACTGGTCTCTGACCAGTCGGTCTGGCATAATAGAAAGCACCTTCAGTTTCAGGTTGTGATGTTCTATTAGGAAGGCTACTGATAGAACTCTGTGATACTTAACCAAAGTACCGGTGCTTTGGTTAAGTCTTAGACTTTGCAGCCATTATTTGGGTCATCACACAATGTAAGACGGAAGAAGTGTCATTTGAAAATCCAAATATCTGCTGTGTAAGAAACTGATGTTTATTAACTACAAAGTTGAAGGTGTCATCTTGAATTTAAGCTAAAAAACAATTATTTTTTCTACATATTAGCCCTCGTTTCTTTCCTTAAATGGCAGCGGAGTCTCCCATGATCTAGAAAGATGGAAGGAGAAAATTGAAGTAGGCTTTGCTCATAGGGTAGAGGGCTTGAAAATAAGTTGAATTTCAGCTTCCTTTTTGGACATGCAGCTCTCAAATTTTGCTTGCCCTAGGCAAGTCTTAGTTTACTTTTTTCAATCTCATTCCCAGAGCCCACATGTCTTTCGGTCAGTGCCAAGACACGGAGCTCTGGAATAATCAATTTCCAGACTCCAAGATTTTAGGAGTTCAGGTTTCATGGCACATGCATGTCTTGGTTTAAAAAATAGAAATCTCGTTCCCAGAGCTCACGTGTCTTTTGGTTGGTGCTGACCAAAAGACACGTGGGCCCTGGGAACAAGATTACCATGTTTTAAACCAAGGTACGCATGCGTGGTGAAACCGGAACTCCTAAAATCTTGGAGTCTGGAAATTGATTATTCCAGAGCTCGGTGTCTTGGTGCTGACCAAAAGACACGTGGGCTCTGGGAACGAGATTGACTTTTTTAATCTAGTTGACAGTTGACTTGCCCATCAGACAAGTTAGAACAAAAATTTACTTGCTGAGCATGAAAATCTACTTGTCTTGGAGGACCAGGTGGCACTTTTTCGAACCCTGAGGGTATACTTAGAATCGTCTACAATGACCTTGTCATCCCCTTCTCCTGCACCCTTGGATTTATGATTGACTTTTTAACTGATGTTACAAAAAAAATAAGGCCTTGACAAGTGCAAAATGTTTCATATGGAAATGAGAACTTTTACTCGTGTGTAGTGTTATACTTACTTACTCTTTTGCTATGCTTTTTCATAGGGCTTGTCATCTTCAACTGGAAAACACCCAGAAGGTAAATACATTTTTGTTGTTGTTTCAAATCTCAGACATTTGTTTCTTGAGAAGGTTTGCGGGAGCGAGTAATTTGTTTACTTGCACTGATTGCTTGATCACTGGGATCCTACAAATATCCACATTTGAAAAAAAACACTGCTTTTTCAGTTTGTGAAGATTCTTACTGCATCCATGGAACAACATTATTATTTTGCTTTACTTCCATCACATTTGATTTGAAACGTTTTTCATTTTTCATAGCATTTACAAATTGATTTATAAATCTATAGGAAATAACTTGATCTGTAGCTTACTATATAGACATCAGAAATGGTTTAGATGGTGGTGTTCATTGTTTAAGAATGTAGTTTTGTAATCAGGTTGTTTGTTGGTTTGTCATTCAGGACAAAATCAACCAAAACCTGACCACAAGAAGGACAGACCAAATTCAGCCTTACAAGCACCGCATCAACAGCAAACATCACGAAGATCACAAACAGCACTTCCACAAAGTCGACAACAGAGAAAGGAAGGCAATCAGCAGGGAGAGAGGACAGGGCCCAACCGATCAGCTGAACCAAGAGGTTCTCAACAGGACAGGCAAAACAGTAACCAATCAAACAGAAATCCCAAGAGATCTAATCAACGCAGACCACCTGAAAGAAATTCTCAATCTGAAACTTCATACCAGAGGGGTGACAAAGCAAAAAATGGAGCTACTCATTCAGCTGAAGCACATCAGCAGGCTAAGCTTGATAAGGACAAACGACCTAAAAGTAATTCTGAGAAAGTTACGTCAGAAAAATCTGTGACTGTTGAGGAGCACGCAAAATCAGGAAACAGAACTCGGCGGTTGCAAGAACCAAGGGAGGGTGGGGACGAAAGGCGTGGCAATAGGAATAGAAGAAGAGGGGGTAGGAGAGAAGCCTCTGGGGACCAAAATATGTTCAGTGAGAGGGCCCAGGGAGAAAAGGGCTCGGGAGATAAGCATGTCAAGGGTCCAGGAGAAAAGCAAGAAAATGGCCCTGAAAAAGATCATCTTGAAAAAGAAGAAGTGAAAACAGAAGTTAAAGGAGAAGGTAATCATGACGAGAACCAGAGTACTAACAAGGGAGATGGTCTAATGGAAAACAATGGACAGAAAGATATTGCACCAGAACCTCCAGCTGAGGATGGACTGAAGACTAACATAGACAACAATTCTGCAGCTTGTTTAAATGGTGAGAAAAACCATGTTCCAGAGAAAGAGGAGGGAGAAAACAAGGATGCATTGCCTCAAAGACCTAACAGGCCACCCAGAAGGAGGGGCCCTCAGAGAGATAGAAAGGATGGGCCAAGTGCTGGGCCAGCACCTGCGAGGCACCCAAATGGAACCAAGTCAGTAGAAAATGGGATAGGTGAATATCACAGCAAGGAAAGCAGTGATTCTGAAATTAAAATCCCAAAGTCAGTTGAAAATGCACAAAATCAGATGGAATCCAAGAAAGAAAATCATTCTGAACAAGAACTTGAAAAACACTTAGACAAAACAGTCCCTCCGAGAGTCAATGGTTATATTCCCATGAAAGAAATTAATGAGGTTAGTATAGGAAGATGACACTCTAGGAAACTTCAAGTGAATTCTATTTATAATACCCGCCTTGTTACAAGGTAGGCACATGAAATTAAGTAACTGAATTCTAAATAATGTTGTTATGTTAAAAAAGCTTTGCAGTTTTGATGTCTGGTTGCTATTTTAAACCAACTATTTGGTAATATTAGTGAAGAGTTAAAAAATATAAATTCAAGAAATGACCAGTTGAATTTCTGTGACATTTTTTGTTTTTTTTACTGGATTCCTTATAGAAGAGGTCATTGCATTAATTGGGCATGATGGAGAGTTACTGAAACAGCTTTCTATTATTTTTGCCTTCATATTGTTTTACTCTATTCTTTAGGCAAAAAAACATGTGTTGTAGTGTTCAAGGCTGTGCTCTAGAAGCACCTGGGTGCCAGAGGCAACTAACTTTTGCCTTTGATGATGACTAGCAAAAATTACTCTTTTCATTTAAGCTTAAGTGCTGGGCAGGCAGGATTTCATGATTAGGAACCTATAGGCTCTTTCTAATTTGTCTTAGAGCACAGCCTTGGGCAGTTCTGACTAAAATTGTTGTTTCAAACCATTTTACCTTCATCTGCCAGTTTTTTACCTGCAGTTATAAGTGTTACGAGAGTTAAGTGTTTCATTGATATCATTGGTGGCAAATTATGCCTTAATTTTGGTGCAAAATTTCAGCCCTAATTTATAATTTCACTTATGAAATTACGAAATTGCCCTGGCCACATCTGGCAGAAATTTTGTCAATACAGTAAACAAATCAAAAACCCACAATGGTAAACGTAATTTGTCACCCATGATATTGAAAGGTAATCAAATGGTATACCTGTAGAATTAAGAAGTATTTTTACTTGTGTTTTGTCAAAATTTCACGCGGAAATTATTTCCAAATTTCACGTGTCATCATTTGATTACCCATTCTAATGATAATAATCATTATGGTAGACCTAATATAGTCAGACGTGATAAACTGGCTTTGCATTGTCTGTGCCAATCACATCTCGCAACACTTTTATCTGAGGCTTATATTTTCTCATGTATAGTCATATATAGGCTTATGTTGCAATGGTGAATCTGAGAGAGGGCCTGGGGCCTCCTCCATTACTCGCGAAAATACTTAATGCCTGAATGGCCAACAAGTTTTTGACATCCCATCTTTTAGGCCCAATTGGCCAAAAAAGTCTCTGGATCAACCTGTGTCGTTGAGGGGCCTAAAGGCAGCACAAAGCTGTGCCAGGAACTGCGGAGACCATTTTAAAGTGGTAGAGCTAAAAAATCTGCTCAACACAAACAAACGTTAAGGTCAGCGTAGACGCGTTTTATTACTTTCAAGTAGTAAAATCTGTATTTTATCTATGTCAATGGTCCCTGTGTGCAGGGTTTTAAATAAATAATGAACAGATTAGCGTAACCTGTTATTTAGCCTCCCAAACAGACACTCTTAGGGGGCGTCACCCTTTCCTTCCCCACACAAGAAAGACAAGAAACTCATGACGAGCCCTGCGAGCGTCTGCGTGGGAGGGTACGGTCTTCCTGTTAAGGAGATTTCAAGTTGTTTGTCACACAATCTTCTCTATTAAACTGAGTGACATTAAAAAGAGATGCATGACACGGGATTGCGTGACAAGCCACAAGAACATAGATATGTTTAACTCCTGAAAGCGCCTCTATTACGAAGGTGCCCTACTCAGATCTTTCAGTCACTTTATCCAATTTTGTTTGAAGCCTGCTATAGATTTTGGGGATACTGGAGTAGTGACACAGAAAGCTACATTAAACACAGATTAATTTTCAAGTTCAGTTAAATTGAATTTAAAGAAAATGACTTGCGATTAAAAGAACTGTGTAAAAAATTAATTATGACAGCTGACACTCTGAGCTAAGGTTCAGGATTAGAGTCTCGAGTGATTACATGACGGTTTTGAATTGTCACCGTATTTATTTCGTCATTTCCAATCTCCATTGTAGCCTGGGCGTCACGCAAAGCTTCTTATTGAGCTTTACCTCACGCTTCCAATAGGCCGCAAAGGAAACTAGTGCTCTCTCAAATACAGCAGATAGGAAACGAAATGAATAAATAAACTAATAAACTGTAAAAATGTTAACTTCAAATGAGAAGGAAAAAATATATATGTAAGTTCATATCAAATCTTGTACTTAGCTCAGATCTGCCATGCCCCAAGCCTCCTACTCAAGCCCTCTCTGGGCTCGTCACGCAATCTTCCTCCCGCACGCGGGGGGAGAAAGATCTGGGTGTACGATTTGACCAGTCGCACATAACCTGGACGCGTCCATACACATGAATCTACAGACTGGGAAGAGGGTTGGGCTCGCGCGCGAGTCCTTGTCCTTTATCCCAACGGCAGAGTCGAGTATCTGAAGAGAGCGGTGAAGCCGCTAGGAGAATGGGGAGAGCAGGGTGGGAGATCGAGAAGGTTTGCAGATTGATATAGGTTACATAGGCTAATATTTCTTACTTTTTGCTTCTCATTGAATGAGCTATGAGAAAATGAAGGGCTGCTGATGAAAAGGAAATGAACAGCTGCTAGAGAAAATTGCACCAATTCATATTCTTAATTTTGTCAATGTATTGTCCTGTGTGGACGAAAAAAATATATTCTATTTACACCGGTGAAAGGTTTGCTATTGGACCATATGGTGTTTGTAAAACGAGTTAATCGTTATCATTTAATAAAACTCAGTTCTGAAAACTTTGTTCATTTGTTTTGATCATATAACAGGCGATCGCTTCTCGCCAAAAAGAAAACTCTGTGAGGGACAGGGAGTTGAGCAGAATCCTCAAAGGCGCGTGCAAATTTAAAACGGATTCAAACCTCTAGCCCATGTTAAGCTGACGGCTGTTTTAGATTTCCAGCCGATGTTTCGATCGCTAGCCCTCCTAAACGGCAACATGCCATTCCCAGGCCCGTACGTGTTCTCCGAGCTCGCGGGCGAGGAGAGGAGAGTAACCGGAGAGGAGAGCGAAGGAACAGATCATTAATTTTTTTTTGGAGAGGGGGGGGGGGGGGGGG